ACTCCAATTCAATTAATAGGGATATGCACCTTTGAATTCAGATTTTGATAATTTCTATGTAAGAAGATTAAAATTACGAATCAATGATTGTTTTAATCGTCCCGTCACTGGTGTACCTGGCAGAAAAATTACATTGCTTGAACGAGAGACAAAAGATTACTGTAAAACTTTTCAATTGACCGGCAAAACCAGAGATTGTTTAAATTTAAGTAGTTATAATTATTTGGGATTTGCTCAGAGTGAAGGTCCATGTGCTGATGCTGTTGAACAGACAGTTAGAAAATATGGTATTTCATCTTGTAGCTCAAGAATTGAAGTTGGTACGTTGGATCTTCATTTACAAGTGGAATCGCTGATTGCCAGATTTGTTGGTAAGCCTGCTGCTATGGTTGTTTCAATGGGTTATGCTACTAATAGCACCACTTTTCCTGCTTTGGCTTCAAAAGGTTGTCTAATCATATCTGATGAACTTAACCATAGTTCAATTGTGTTTGGTAGTCGTCTATCTGGTGCTTTCATCAGAGTTTTCAAACATAATAGCATGGAAGATCTGGAAAATTTATTGAAGGAATGTATTAGTCAAGGGCAACCAAGAACCCATCGACCTTGGAAAAAAATTTTATTGGTTGTTGAAGGTCTTTATTCCATGGAAGGTAGTATATGTAATCTGCCAAAAATCATTGAATTAAAAAGAAAATATAAAGTAAGAAAATTTTTTTTTACATTTTATTTGGGAAAATCAAATTATTAATCGGAATATCATTATTATGATGTATAGTTTTATTTGTATGTTGATGAGGCACATAGTATAGGCGCACTAGGTCCAAGAGGTAGAGGTGTGTGTGATTATTATGGTATAGATCCTGATGAGGTTGACATTTTGATGGGAACATTTACAAAATCATTTGGTGCTGCTGGTGGATACGTTGCATCATCAAAAGAGACTATTGATGCTCTTCGATTGTGGAACCATGCATCAGTCTATGCTGAATCAATGACGCCACCAATACTACAACAAATCTACACTTCAATGTCAATCATTATGGGTGAAGACGATGCAAAAAGTGGAGAAGGCAAGATAAGATTGGAAAGATTGGCATTCAATGCTAGATATTTGAGCACAAATTTGAGAAGAATGGGTTTCATCATTTATGGTGATACTGACTCACCAATCATCCCATTACTGCTATTCAACCCTGCTAAAATACCTGCCTTCTCAAGAGAATGTCTAAAGCGAAACATTGCTGTAGTCGTTGTTGCATATCCTGCCACACCAATGATCTCCTCTAGAGCTAGATTTTGCATTTCAGCTGCTCATACTAAACAAGATTTAGATGAAATATTAAAATCTTGTAACGAGATTGGTGAAATCTTGCAACTTAAATTATCAAGCAAAGTTCAAAGAAAATCAATAGAAGAGGTTTTAAAAATTAATGATATATAAATAAATAACAACGTGTTATTTTAATGATATTGTTAGTAATTTCATACATATATAGATTTAATTTTTTGTTATTCCTGTTATTATTAATAAATTATACCATTTGAATGTTACGCGAAATATTCAAACGCTTTTAATATGATTATAAAACATTACACCTTTACGTTCTATTAAATAAACAATGTCTTGATATTAATATTCCAACTTTATGGAAGTATCCATTCATTCTGTTAAAAAGCACCAAAATATCCAAGATCTGTTGTTAATGGTGATTTCTTCAATAATTCAAACTTGAATTCGATGTTCTTTCTTAACAAGAAATCCTTGTCTTTTACAACAACTTAGTTTGATTAGGAAAATGCGGTGATTGGATAATGATTTATCATCAGATTCGATGCTGTTTTTCGGAACCTTTATAAATTTGAGAAACGGACAAAGTTGACCTTAACTAATTAAAGCACAACATCAAATTAAAATGCAGCATATTTATGAAAATTTCGTAACATATATATGTGTTAAATATTAAAACTTAATAATTGATTATGCGACTGTTGATTCTTTATTTTTGCCAGCAACGTTTAAATATCTAAAGTCTTGATTTGTAATCGGGTAATCGGGTGATTTAGGAAACATCAAATCTATTTTTAATCAAAATTTGAAAAAGTGCTTTTTTTGTATATAGGATATTCCTGTTAAAGACTCGTCAGATTTCCTTAAAATTAATGGAAGCACTCTTAAATCTCCAAAAATCAAGACAGGTGATGCAGGAGTCAATTTATCAAAATTGATCCTATGTGACCTAAGATTTTCTGTTACCCCCTAGGGCTTCTATTCGTAATAATTCACCTTTAATTCGAATTAATATTAATATTAATATTAATATTAAAAAGTTTATTCGAATTTAAAAGTTTATTCGAATTAAAATTTAATTCACTTTATTCAAATTATTTGTTTTATTTGTTTTATTAATTATCGGAATCATTCGTTTTATTAGATTATTTGGAATCATGGGTTGTTCAATTACTTAAATATTCAAACTATATGCACAACAAGGTTTAATATTGATTTTATTATTATAAAAATTGAAATTAAAAATTAAACTAATAAGGAAAGACTGAAACAAGATTCATGTTTCTTTTAATAAATAGCAATCTTTCCAGTGAGCTTGAATTTAAACTGGACCTTAATTATTTGTTTTATCCGAATTAATATTTTCGAATTATTTGCCTTATTCAAATTAATATTAATTTCCTTATTCGAATCAATTTTCTTATTCGAATTAAAATTTATTCGAATAAACTTTCAATATAATCCGAATACTCAAATTCATAACGAATAAAGTGAATAATTCGAATAAACCTTATTCGAATAGAAACCCTATACTAAAATATTAGCTATATAATATATGTCAGCGCCCTTATTTGTTTAATTTTATATAAAAAAAAGGATAGGAGTTAAATTTATACCATATTAATATGTAGCAATAGGTTTTGGTAAAAAAATTTTTTTATTTTATCTGAACAAATATTTAGAAACGTGTTTTCGCGATTAATTTATAATCGGTGCTTGCTTAGATTGTTTCTAATACGAAAATTCAAACCAAAAAAATGTTCTTTTAATAATAGATACTTCCGAAAATTTTGTTTTTGAATGAATAGTCTATCGATTTAAAAATAAATACAGCATTTTTCTTTATGATGTATCCTTGTAATTTCGTGTGATTATTTCACTTTATTTTTGTCAATTGAAATTTATTATTGTCACACATCATCTCATAAATAACGTGATTTGATCTACATGTAGGCCAATTGTCATTTACACAAAAAATTGTATTACACTTTTATTAATATTTATAAAATTCTCAAATCTCATATACATAAATGTTATAATTGATCATTCTTTATCTGATATACATTTACTTGAATATATTTTGTCAAAAAGTGGTCACTTTGGTTGTGATTGAGAAGAGAGAAATCATCAAGAATCCTTGAGTTTTGTTGTAATTTCAAATAGTAAGTTATTACACTCAGAATCAAATAGGTTGTTTGGTCAAGAAATAGTCAATGTAAATCATACCCAGGAATTTCAAGAGATCATAATATATTACAAAGAAAATTTTTTTTACTCCAATGTTGTTTTTGTGGTTTGTTGATATCTAAAAAAGGCAAATGATTGTCATACACATGATCCTATGATTGGTCAAATATGTGTCACGCACATTAATACCATAAAGTCTGGAAAGATAGCATCCCCTTTTACATATGTGTAACATTTTTTTATATTGACGCTCAATTGTTTTAAAGTAGGGGGTGCTATCTTTCCAGACTTTATGATAGATATTTCAAAAAAGATTGACAGTTTATATGTAAAGAGTATTGTAAAATCAAAAAAGTGCCATTTAGAAAGGAGGCACTGCCCACATTAAATAACACCACTTCAAATTCTGTATAAGCATTCTATTATTATCATTTATTTCAGATCCCTTAATAACTTTTCCTGATCCCTGCTGGGTTTTGAATAAGGTTTACTCTAAATTTCATTTTATTACACTCGTAACATACAAATTAATCAATGATCTACATTTCAAACTCGCGTTTATTAATTAATAACATTAATGTTCTTATATACATTGTATTTAATAAAATGAATAAAGGTTATATATGAAAAAATTTTGGCCCCTGCGTAGTATGTGGTAATCAAGATCCTAACATTAAATATCGAAGGATTACCACACAAACAATCTTAAAGATTAATAAAAGTCCTAATATTGAAAATTTAAATATAAAACCCCATGTTGATGTCAAAAACATTGCAATAAATTGATTTTATATGAACATAGTAAATCCAAAATGGTTCAAAAACAAAAAATCAATAATGATAAAAGTTATCATCAAGGTGGAAAGTGTCCAAAATGTATTTATATGGAAAAATATGAATTTTTGGATGATTTAAATATCTTCACCTTCATTTGTATATTCCAATCTATCTATTATTTGTTTTAAAGAATTGCTACGTATGTTTTACAACTCCCTATTGATCTGCGTGACATGTCCTGTGACTGGTAACTTCGTAAATCATTTCCGACTTATATATCAGTTTCCCGTGATTTATAATTTACTATTTTACACTATTATTATTATTATTATTATTATAACTAGGGTGATAATGAGTGGCGACCACCACCACCACTCATGATAAACACTTACTCATTTTCCTCAGCAATTGCGTTTGATTGATTTCTTTTTCTTTTTGTTTTAGAATCGGTAGACATTTTTACAAAAAAAAAAAGTTTGTGATTTGATCGA